ACATTAAATTTTTATATTAAACATCCATGACATTTCTACAGATATATATTATATGACAAGAGATATAAATTTATATTGCTTTTCATTATATTGTATAAAAACATGCTTTAATAATTAATTAAATATTAATGATGAAAAAGAATTAGAAATATTTATGTGTAGTATACTTATAATGCTGGTATTATGCTATGAATCCATTTCATTTATTAGAAAGTAGACTGCAAAGAAGTGAGAATGAGTGTTATAAATGTGTGTTATACAAATACAGTGTGTTGTAGAGGTGCGAAGAGTATTTAATTAAATAAAATCTAAAATTAGATGACTATATAATATTTGTCAGTGTGATCGAAGTTTTAACCTATCTTAATATCTACTTTAAATTTCTGCCAAATATGAATGTAAATAATTAATGTGATTTGATCTAATTAATATGTATAATAATTGTAAATATTTCTAAGCATTATTTTATATCTTTTATATTAGTTTATTGTTTTATATATTCTTTTTCGTACATATTTTTATGAATGTACACTTTAAACTCTCATTATTGAATATTTTGCAATATTTAAACAAATTTATATTCTTATACAAACATATATTCTTATACAAGAATATTATAGCGAGCAAATTTTAAAAAAATAATATATCTAAAAATAATATATTTTTTAATTAATTTTGTTAAATTAAACCTTCAATTAGATAAAATATAATATATATAGGCGGATGTGTATGATTGCAAATTTACCCTTTTGTTTTTGTTTTTTTTTATGAAAGATATTATTACATAAATAAAGATATTCTTTTAAAGCAATGAAACGTAGATACATCAAAGTATCTTACAATTTTTCGTACATTGTATATACGTTTCTCGGAAAACTCTGATACGTATCATTCGATAACACATTTCTCAACAACGTATACTATTTTGTCGCAAGATATCACAATTAGCATTTATGTGAAGCACTTTACTGGAATTGAGAGTTTAAGACGTATATATATCTATAATTAATATCATGAATAAGCAATATAAGGCAGAAAAATTAACTTTACTTATGCACAACTTCAGCTTTTAATCGAGCTGCAAGAGCCCTTCGTACTTGAAGTATTGAAGGATCTAAAGTTTGTGCTGCTTCCAGTTCTTGCTGCCCTTTCATACTCGCTTCGGCAACTACTCTAGCCGAGCTCGGCCGGGTTTTATTCATTTCTAACTGCTGACTTCTAGCTTCCTTTTTCAAAGCTACAAGTTTATCTCGTCTGGCTTTTAGATAATCCTGCCTCTTTTTAATATCTTCCGGATTCATCTGTAATAATGCGTAACTGAATGCAATATATTTTTGTTTCCACAAACACGTTACTATACATGTTGGTATTTTAGATCTCTCTGCTTATTTTTATAGAAAAATGCTTCCATACATATTTATTAATATATTTTATA